TGTCTTAAAGTACCTAGAGTTCTTTTCTGATATTCTAAATAATAAATACCTTATTTTTATAAATTATATATTAATTTATTTTAATTATTTTTATAGAAATATTTTATTAATATTTATTTATTTTTTAATATTAAGAAAAGAGTTGTCTTAAAGCACCTAGAGTTAATTTCTGATATTTCTAAGTAAATATATCTTATTTATAAAATATATATATATATATATATTTTCTTAAAATTATATTAATAAATTTGAAATAACAGGATTATGAATTAATATATTTTTTGAATTTTTAAATTTCCAATAATAGACAATTTATAATTAATAAGTACCAATTTTGGGCGTTGTGAGGGGTGAATCCTTCCCCAAACGTAATCGACCACGAATCCCTTTTTATTATTAAAAAGAACGAATTTTTGGTTAAAACGCATACCAATTTATCTTTTAACTGATGTTTTCTTAAAAACTCTTTTAAAAAATAATTTTTAGATATTCGACCTACCTGATCCAAAAGGCTGATGGCGACTCCCAAAACATTTTAAAAACCATTTATTCACAACACTTTTCCCGTCAAGTAAAAATTCGTCCCCGGGCGAAAATCGGTTACGACAATCGAAATTAATTTGAGTGATTGGTGGTCGGGGTTGAGGTCACGAGCACCGACGAAGCTGTAGGTGGCGACGATGTACACCACCAATGGCTGGTGATGGAGGCGCCAGGAAATGTGGAAGGGAGAAGGGGAGGGGGCACGTGTGTTTTTTTTATAAGGTTTTTTAAAATATTATATTTATTTTTAATATTTTTTTAAATAAATTCTCAAAGTTACAAGAATGAGACATGTGTCACTTAACGGAGATTTTTAAAGGCGGTTAATGTCTGAGAACCTAAGGGGGTATTTGGTTCAAGGATTGTGACATTCCCATGTTTGGTTGACCAGGAATCTCATTCCCGGTAATGTTTTATTACCAATAGTAGATTTTTTGGGATATATTACCGGGAATATCATTACCTCAAATTATAAATTTATCCTTAAATTATTTTAGATTTACAAAAAAAAAATCTATAATTAAAATTTTATATGAAGTTCAGGGGTTAAAAAATTTTTACCCTTTCATTAAACCTTTTTTTTATTTTTAATTTTGTAAAAAATTTATATAAATATTATGAATTTAATTTTTTAAAGAAAATATATAAATATTTTACAATTTCTACTATTATACAAATATATAATAAGGACAATTTGGTCAAATATACATTCCAATAATCTTTTATTCCTTTAACCAAACACGGTAATCTTACATTCCTGCTAAACCAACCAAACACAAAATACAACATTCTCAGTAATCTTATTCCCTGGTAATATTTTATTTCCACTGGTAATCTTACATTCCGTGAACCAAAAGCACCCTAAAAGTATAACGCTGAAAACATATACATCTATTTAGAAAAAAATTAAGTACTAAAATGTTTTTCTAAAATATAGTTTAAACATTTATTTTTATTATAAGTCTGCTTTCTATCGTCTTTAATGGGTTTGATATAAAAGAAATAAATTTATTTGTGGTATTTTCTACCACTAGGATTATGTTCCTATTGCTCCACTAATCCTAACCTTTTTATCAGAAGTATGATATCATAAATTTTGTAATAAAACCTTAGAATAAGATAATAGAAATTTAGTTTGGTGATCGGTGATATACATAACAATAGATTGAGTTGAGCGGCTGAACACAACTATCTTTCTAAAAATTTTAAATTTTCATATATTTTCTATATTTTTAAATTAAAAATATTATATTATCTTTAAAATTTTATAAATTTAACATTTCTTAAAATTTTATAAATTTACTTTCTTAATACTCATTTCATATACAATAATACAATTTTGATCATGAGTTGTAAATGATTGTTTTTGCACCATTGATAAGAAAGGGGGGAGGAAGTGAAAGGAAAGGGTCCATGGGGAAAAGTTCAACAATGCAATTATTGAATCAATGTAGGCGGTGAGCCATATCGGTTCCACCTCTTCCAAAGTAGAACCGTTCGTTTTGTGACATCACTCACTTCTTTGTCACTACAGGTGCTTATGATCGAGACTCTTTTATGGCTATTATCTATTTTTTCTTAAAATTAACAAGAAATTTGTATAATTTTTATAAAAAAAAATTAATAGTGTAAGATAGTTATAAAATTTTATCTGTTCAAAATTATTTTTAATTATCGATAATTTCTACAAATATTTGTAATTAGTTAAATTTAAAATTTCTAAAAACATAATATACTTTTTAATACTTAAATCGTTGATGAAATTCCTTCAATATTTTAAGATTATATTAAAATAGTTTCAATATTTAATATTGTATTAAAATAGTTTCATTATGCTGTCAACTTATGCACTCTTTAAATTTAAAATTCAATCTATTTATTTATTTTTGTAAGGAAATACTAAATTTTAATCTTATAAATCAAGCTTCAATCTATTAAAATATTTTCGTTAAGATGGAACAGGGTGCGAGATAGGGCTGAGCAACGAAATCGAAATATCGACATAAATCGAGTAAAACGGTTTGATTCGGTTCGGTTTGACATTATATGGTTCGATTTTCGGTTCGGTTTAAAGTCTCAATTCTTTTGATTCGGTTTGGTTCAGGTTTTCTATATGTAATCTATTTATTTCATATTGAACCAAATAGGCAATTTTTTTATAAAAAAAAATATAGTTTCAAGTGATTTTTTTATTGAAAACCTAATAAACCGAACCAAACTAAAAAATTTGAACCGTTAAAAAACAACCGAAAAAATGATTTCGATTTTTAACCGCATTCGGTTTCGGTTTCAATTTAAATTTTGAAAAATCGTTTATTTCGGTTCGGTTCAATTCTTAGTAAAAAACCGAATCGAACCAAATACACCCCAAGTGCGAGAAGCTCCGGAGGGCGCTAAGCGAGTGCCACCAACGATTCGGATCAGGTGCGACACGGGAAGTGGCCTGTCGGCACTTGAACGGAACCCTGACTGTGCTGTGTCCACAACAGAGAGTCGAAGGCGGTTATGATACTGTGCAGCAGCGGTGGAACTCGACTGAAGCGGTCCCAATGTAACAGCCTCAACTTTCTCTCTCCGTCTGCGTCTCTTCTCATCAACGGGATTTAATGATTTCGCCTGATCTGCTGATCTTTTCCCTTTGGGATTATTACCATTTTGAACTCTATGGATAAGAGAAGAGAAGAGAAAGCGTGATGAAAAATGTGTACTTGTGGGTAAATTCCATTTCCCATACATAATTGCACGGTTTATACATGGATAATCACAAATAAGTATTGCTGTTTGTCATGTAATATTGAAGCTCCATAACAAAGATGAATATTTCATTATGTTTTTATCAAATATGACACTGGGAAACTTTGATCAGAGCCAAAGATATAATTCCATAAACACGATTCTATATATATATATTATGCTAATGATACCCAAAAAAAACGAACATACTGAAGCGACCAGCATTGCAAGTGTGTTTCTCTCGTCTTCGTTCCCCTTTCAGGCTTTTATTGTAAAAAAAAGATCCTGCAACAAAGGAAAGGGACACAACTTCCTCTGCAGATGTAAGGGAAGAATTAGTGGATTGCAACAATGAGCATGATCGAATAAAATAAACAAGAGCTTATGGTATAGGATACATACTTGCTATGCAGAAAACCGTGCTCGGTCATGCGAAGAAGAATAGTCGATATCCGGTCCAAGAGGGATTATCCCAAATGGATTTATAGTAGGATGGCTTCCATAGTAATGGCGCTTGATGTGTTGCATATTCACTGTACTGCTCATTCCTGGGATTTGGTAAACGTCCTTGGTATAGTTGAACAAATAGGGGTACTCTCGTAGAAGCTTTTGGTTGCACTTGAAATGAACGGCGTAGACCTGTTGGGACAACAAGCTCGTTTTTGTTTAGTTGTAACGAATACGCAACACTGGAAAGCTGTAGAGGAAAATGAAATACCTCATCAAATCTTATGAGGGTCACAAACAGTCGAATATCTGCCTCGGTTAGAATGTTTCCACAAATGTAGCGTTGCTTGGAAAGAATCTCCTCACATTTGTCCAACGCTTCATATAGTTGTTTTACAGCCTGATGGTCAAATGACAGGACAAACTTCAGAGAAGAATATATTTCTTTCATGATTGAATTGAAGTTAAACATTTACCACATAAAAATACCTCATCGTAAGGCTCTTGCTTTCTTGCAAACCCACATTTGTAAACACCGTTATTGATTCCTTTGTATACCCATTCGTTTGCCTCGTCAATTTGAGCTCTCAAATGAGGAGGATGTAGGTCCATAGCAGGATTCTTTGCTATATCGTTGAATTCAGTATTTAGCATGCGGATTATCTCTGCACTCTCGTTACTAACAATAGTCTTGAATTTCTTGTCCCACAGGACCTATATTAGAACAGAAAAGCATCAAATAAGTTGAAAGAAAACATGGGAAAGCAATAGAAAAACAGAATTATCAATTACTGGAACTGTGAATTTCCCGGTATAGTTGGTACTTGCAAGCTCGTATAGTCCCCTTATACTCTTCACTCCGTTAAAGGGGTCAGGTGAAGCACCTGGTTCCTCTGTATTAGAGGCTGGAAAAACCCATCCCATATGATCATCTGTTTCCTTCGTCCTTTCCCATATGGGTTTGACAGACTGGTGAACACAATTGAACAACAAAAGATCATTAGGTTTATGACAGATGTAATCCAACTTAAAATGCATGGCATGATTCACCAACCGTGAAACCAATGGCTTCCTCAAGTCCTTTGATCTTCAAGTAAGCTAGGCACCTAGAAGCCCAAGGGCAAGCATATGATATATACAAATGATACCTTCCCGACTCAGGTGGAAACTGAGAATTCGGATCTCGAAATGAAGTTACGAAATGTTGAGGCAGTTCTGGTAAAAGCCCCGGAATCTGACATTTCATCCAGTGCAGATCGAGCCATTTGACAAGTACGCTGGAAAAACGCATCACTTCAGAATTTATAACTTCTCAAACTCCAACAAATTCATGCCATGTTCAAGATTCAATCTTGTCTCGTTTGATATATTTCTTTCATTGAATTCTGTCTGCCCTGTTTCTGTTATTCTTTCTTTTCTTTTTTCGCATTTAAAATATAGTTACTTAATCCATATAATCAAGGAAAACTTGAGTCATTCAGCTATTAGCGTGAGATTATAATATCTACAATGAAAAGTTCATCAAAGCTATCATTCAAGGCAACAAATTGGATTCACAAATGATGTATCAATGAAAAAAAAACATTTTGATATAAATAGCAGCTCTAAAAATCAGTTCCAGCAAATAAAGCATTCGGATCAAGCTGAGCCTAAGACCAGAAACTGTTTTTACTCATGTACGGTGAGTAAAGTAGATGAAAAGCACATATTGTCTAAATTCCTCCAACGTAAACCAAAAATTAACTAGTTGTCGTATTGTTTATCTCATTAAAAATAACAGACGACAAGAATTTGTCAAAAGAGTGAGAGATACGATAGAAACTCATTATGATCAAAAGAAGAAAAGTAGAAAACCTTAGTTTCCTGGCAACAAACGATATGTCGAAGAGTACCGACAGAGATGAATGGAAAGGATACATACAGCTTATAAACTGAAAGCCAGAAGTCGACAGGCAAGGCTAAGGATGATCAAAATAAGGCACAAGTCTTACCTTGAAAGCAAATAAAGGGAGAGTGGTGGAGTTGGTCGTACCAAATACTGAAGGGTTTTTGCTAAAGAGATGGATCATGTGAATTTATGAAGTTTTATTTCTTTTTCTGTTGGGTTTTTTTTTATTTTTATTTTTATTTTTTTATTTTTTATTTTTATTTTTTTTTACGTTTGGTGTCCCTATAAATGAATACCCTTCTATCCTGGCTGCTTTAATTTACATCCAATGGATAATGCTTGAGGTGGCTAAAGCAAATACCAAGTATTGACAACACCAAATGCGTCAGCGATTAGATCAGAAATGGTGGCATCTCTTTGATTGTGTGAACTACTACAATAATTCTGACCTTTTTTATTTAAATAACCTCGTTGGTTAGATTATTTGGAGAATTAATATTCTTTGAAAATAACATTTATATATCTTATCAACAACAACACTTTTAATATAATATTTCTTAAAATTTTGACAGTTCAACCTTAAATCATATGAGCTGCTACAATAATTTTAATTTTTTATTTAAATAACACAATTGTTTATTCTATTTAAGGAATTGAAACACTTTAATGATTAATTATAAAAATATTATTTATATATTAAACGGATATATCACATAAAACTAAACATGTCAATAAATTTAAACATTTTAATTATAAAAAACTATAGATGATCATACCACTTTTATTTATTATTATGTTTAAAAAGGAAACAAATTGCAATTAATTGTTATGCTTTTGCTGGATTTAAAAATGGAAATTGTGGAATGCAAATTGCAGTTGATGGCTCGCGCTTGTGGGGGTCAAGTGGAAGACTGGTTGCTCCGCTCTTATGTGTGAGTATTTTTTTATTAATTTAAGACAATTATAAGGGATAATATTTATTTAAAGATTTTTAATCATTTAATGATGAATATTTAAGAATTTTATTTCGTTGATGTTTGAATCTAACAACTTTAAGATAATAATTATTTTTTAACCACTAATATCATTTGATTCGTGTATATGTGTTAGAAATTTCCACTGATTTTTTTAAACAGTCACAAAAATACACATTAGACTTGAGAACAATCTAAAAGCCTTAGCAGCCCATCCTTTCTTGCAAAGCCCATCAAGTAAAGCAGTATGCTTCCATCCTTCCCAAACCAGTTCTTCCAATTTTCCAAAGGCTTGCTTAGATAACCCATTTATCAAACAAGAATAGTTAACCAGATTAGGCTTAAACCCCATCTTCACCATTTTATCAAAATACCAGAGTGATCCATTCGCAAAACCCTTGTCAAAAAAAAAAGTTGCAGCATTACTTCAAGCCCTGATTCCCAACAGCCTCCTTCAACCTCCCACTCGAGCAAAATTCCTCACCGGACACTGCATTACTTCATTGGCTCTGTCAAAGTTACCATTTTTAATCAAAGAAGAGGGAGTTGCAATGTAAAACCTCATGAAATGTTTAAACTTGTAGATTGTCAAGTACCCAGTAAAACAAACTTAGAGCAACCATGGAACCCCATTCATTTCCCAGATGAGAAACGATTGAAATGGTTGTTCATTGGAGATGAGAACCATTTATACGATTATCAATCAGTTTTTATTAACTTTCAATCTCTGCCATGTTGTGTATCAATGAAACTGTATAATTTTTCATTTTCTTGAACAAATTGAATTGACTTATTGGAAGCAGCACAATCATTTATTTCTTAGCCTAATATCTCGATTAGTAGCATTTTTTTAATCTTTGACTATAAAATTGGTCCATAAAAAAAAATTCGAAAAGTTGAATCTTGTTTTTGAACGGTCATATTCTCTGGAGGCGCACGTACGCTTTGCATAGGCGCAAGTTAGCTGGACTAACAAAACCTAGTTTTCTCCGTCGCGCTGCGCTCGTCGGTGACCCTCTGTCCGCCAAAGCTCCACCACGGGTCTCTCCTCTCTCGATCAGCTTGTCCATGGATTGGAGAAAGCTATTCGGATGTCAAGTGGGGCAAGAACTGTCATATTTTCCCCCAAAATCAAATGATAAAATCCCTATTGTTCAACCCCCCAAGAAGTTCTCGAGGCCGGCTCTGCAGAATGGTCTTCTTCGCTCGTTGGTCAGATACTAGGTGCTGCCCCAAAATTCACCCATCTGCAAAGTATCATCGAGAACCTTTGGAATCAACAGTCAAAAGGGGTTAGGGTTCAGGTAAGTATCGCTGGTAACAACCTGTATGTTTTCAACTTCAACTCTGTTAATGCTCGTGACTGGGTTCTTGAAAATGTCCCATGGCATGTTCTCCATAAACCTCTAATATTACGGAAGTGGGAACCAAATTTGCATAAACTTGAATTTGATTTAACTCGTCTGCCTATTTGGGTGTATTTGTATAATGTTCCTTTAGAATTATTCTCTAGAGAAGGTCTTAGCTATATAGCTAGTGCCTTAGGAGTACCTTTGTCTATGGATTCGTTTACTGCAAACAAATCCAGACTTAACTATGCCAAGGTCTGTATAGAGGTAGGTGCTAAGGACAAAATACCAGAATCAGTAGAGGTTGTTCTAGCCAATGGAATATCCACTACTATCTAAGTTGATGTTCCTTGGCTCCCTCCCAGATGTGCTAACTGCAAAACCTTTGACCATTCAGAAAAAGGCTACTCAAACAACACTAGCCTTGCTAACCAAACTACGAAAATATGGAGAAAAAAGAATGAAATCCATGCTCTTAAATCCACAGAAACAATAGAAGAACAGCATGTCACAGCGTCAAAACCTTCACTCTCTAGAGCTAACATTGAACTAAATAAACTAGAGACGGGGAAAGCTTTAAAATCAATTCTTCCTTCGGATTCGGATCTGCTACCTAGGGGAGATTCAATGGCAGAACCTTCCTCCTCCAGAACTAACAATGATCTTAATAAATTAGAAACAGGGAAAGATTTAACTCCATCTCTTCCTCATAACCCGGATCTATTTTCTAATGGTGATTTTTCTGATGTTGAAGAAAATAAACCAAAACCGCTACCTAGCAAAGATTCTATCCAAACAGAAACTGGGACTCCTGCTCTCCCTAAACGTGGTATAGGTAGACCTATTAAAGATAATTCTAAAACTGTGAAGAGTGGCACAACAAATAGATTCGATATTCTTACCACTGTTGATGAGACCACTTCATTAAACGAGGTACAAGTTAAAAAACAAAGACTTGCTGATGCTGGAGTAGCAAAGCTGATCAAGGAACTAAAATTGAAAAAGAAAGATCAAATTTCTAAGTTCGCTAGTACCTTAGATTTAGCCTTAGAGGACCAAACCTCCCCCATACCCCAATGATTATCTACTTTTGGAATATTAGAGGATTAACAATCCTCAAAAAACAGAAAAAAGTTCTCAACAGAGCAAATCTATACAATGTTGATGTCTTATGTCTGCTTGAAACCCGTGTCAAAGCTGAAAATTCTAATAAAATTTTAAACTCCTCTTTGCGAGCTGGAATGTTTTATCTAACTACGATTTCGCTTCCAATGTAGAATATGGTTCCTTTGGAAGAAAGGTATCGATATTTCTTTTTGCCACTCTTCTGCCCAAAGTATCACTGTTAATTGCTCTTATAATAACTCCTTTTATCATCACTGCAGTCTACGACAGTAATTGTGGTACCCGTAGAATTCTTTGGCAATCTCTTAGAGATATTGATCATAAGTATGGCTATCTTCCTTGGATCATAGGAGGGGATTTCAATATCTTCCTTGACTACAAAGAAAGTACTGATTTTGATCTCTTAGGTCCTTATCTTTCTTCTGATATGATTGATTTCCAAAATGTTTCCAAGACCTTTCTTTACATGACCACCCATTCTTTGGTCCAACTTTTACTTGGAGCAAAAACAAAGAGATTCTTTCCTTGCAAGGAAACTTGATAGAGTTCTCATCAACTCTCCCTGGGCTACCACTTTTCAGAATTCTTTTGTTGAATTCACTGCCCCTGGACCTTCTGATCACTGTATGGGTCTTGCATGGATAAACAAACAGAGTCAAATCAATAAACCCAAACCTTTCAAATTTTTTAACTTCTGGTCTAACCACACTAACTTTCTTGACGTCGTTCATCAGTCTTGGCAACATCCTTCCCAAGCAACCCAATGCAGAAATTATTTACTAAACTCAAACGCCTTAAACCCTATTTACAGAAGCTTAACCAAGATCATTATAGTAATATATCTGCTAGGGTAATTCAAAAGAAGTTGGAGTTGGAACAAATTCATATTGAAACTCTTAAAGGCTCCATCTCAATTGATAAAGAATTGATTGCTCAAAAGG